AAACGGTGCTGGCTGAATGTCTGTTTAACGGTTTCCACATTAAAATATTCACTGCGGCCTCATCAGCCTCTCCTGGAAACCATGGCAACAGTAACTTTAGACAAACACAAGAAAGGAAAAACTTTTTCCAGAAGTGGACATGCTAACACTAACACTGCTAGCTGTGGAAATGTTATGTGAAAACAGTTTTAAAAAAACGCAGCTAAAAACAAATCTCCACATCCTGTGGTGTTCACATGCTAGCTAGCATTAGCGCTGAAGAAAAGCTAGCTGCTCAATGAAGTTTGAAAAGTATCTACTAAAATAAGAGTACAAGGCTTTTTGTAATAGACATAGGGACAACAGTTAGTAACAATAACAATTTATTTTATCCTAATTACTGCAAAACCAGTCATACAGATAAAAAAATAAATATTTGTTGAAGAAAACAGAAGATATGACGCTCCTTGCTAATTGTGCTAACACCCACGATGTACCTTGAATTTATCTGTTGAACAAATCAAAACCACGTTCCTCCACTCTGTCAACGTCCACCGACCTTGAGATTTATGAATCCTTAGAAACACAGAGGTCGGTATTATGATGAAAATGTTTTGTGGAATCAGGCATCCAGGTTGTCGTTTTACATCTTCGTCATTAACTTGTCCTAAAGTCTCACCAGGCAGCCGGTTAATGAAGGCATCCATTATTGGATCATGGTTCCCATAAAACGGTTTGTTAAAGACATACTGTACTGCATTTACTATAATGAGTTGTTTTACTTCCAAAACCCAACAATGATGAAATGCATAAATGTAATAAAAGACGCAGTAACCATTAAAGTCAGATCTGCTCATTCGCCGACTGTGTGACGGGGTTTTGGCTGCAGAGCTGCGGTCCAGATTTTTTACTTCCATATGTTTCTCATGCGATCCAAAAGCACAACATATGCTTTATGGGGGGAATATGTTTTCCTTACAGATTGAATTTGTCCTCCTGTTTATTTAAGCTGATGCGCTCATTAATGGGCGGAAGATTAAACGGCTCCACTCAGGCCAAAGTTTTTGAAGAAATGCAGAACTGCAGCGTGATTCGCAACATCAGCGCTCAAATCTTGATGCGGGGCAGGAAACGTGGACGTTGGAAGCCGCACAGCATTCCAGCCGCGGCCTCATCAGAGTGCCAGGCTCTGGGTTTGACCCTCAGGATGAGCGAACACACACACACACACACACACACACACACACACACGCGCGCGCACACACACACACACACACACACACACGCGCGCACACACACACACACACAGCGGAGGAGACACGTCATCGCCCAGCTTTCCAGGCCCGCACTCTGACACACTTATTTGCATCGTGTCCTGTTGTTAATTACTAATGTGGACAGTTTTTAAATTTTTTTTGTGTGTCATCTGGAGATCAGACCTGCTTCTATTGATCCAGGGTTCATAGAAACTGTAAGTTTGGGCTTCAAAGGAAGAGCTGAACCCAAACGTTCCGTGGTGCCGCTGTGCGTCCACACATGGCCGCAGAATGAGCTCTTCAAAGACGTTTCTTTTTTCAAACTCAACAGCAGACCTATGTGCTTGGCGTCATATTTCTCAGCCACTTTTGTGCTCCAGAGGTTTCACGAACACCATTACTGTCAATCAGAGTATAAAAGGCTGAACACGAGGGAATGTCACAGATTTTAGATTAAAAAAAACATGTTACAAGCTATGTTTCTTAGACATATCAACCACTTTCCCTCACTTTCTTCTTCTACTAATCCCCCATTTTGCATTATTTAATGCATTTAGTTTTCTTTCAGTTCTTTTTCTCTCCTGGTCTGTCGGAGTTCATCGTCTGTGATGGTGCTGCCAATGATTAAACGTCGTCTTCATGTTTCTTCCTGTTTTTGTTTTTTTTTTCTATCCACGGTCGTTACATTCATTTTTGGTATGAAGAAATTCTGTTAATGACAACGCAAGAAACGATAAACTGTTTCCATTACGAATGTCAGCAAGGCTTTGTCAATATTCCGCTACTGTTGAAAGAAAAAACTATTTAGCGACTGCGGTATTTAAATTTGACAAGAACCGCAACTAAAGTCACAAGTGAATCATTTTGTTCACGCAATAATTCATCGAAAAAAAACAACATTCTGCCATCATCCTCCTACCACTTCCTGTCGTCTTCTTCGTCTTTTTGCCAGTAGTTGATCACGTGACTCGTGCAGTCTGCTGCGTTTCCTTGGATAGAAAACCTCTTTCATAATGAATAATGTTTTATAAGTTATTAGAGTGCATGTGAGACTGAATTAACATTTTTATAAAATGTTTTGAGGTGACATTTATTGTGAAGTGACACTACATAAATGAAATGAATCATTTTATAAGGCGCAACATTTAAATGCGTTCAGTAACCTGGATTACAGTTAAAACAAATAATTTCCTCGCTCTTCAGTGTGAATGAAACCGACTGAAGACATTTTTGCCTCTGTGTTGGGATCAGGTAGTCCCGGCCCGTCACACTTGAAGCTCCATTAATCCGAGTTTAGATTAAAAATGGCTGAAAAGGAGCCGAGGAGGGTCATAGTGGTCAGCAGGGTGAAGAGGCAGCAGCAGGGGGAGGAGGGAGCGGCTTTAATCAGCACTTCCTCTTCCCTTCCCGGAACATGACTCAGTTTTCTGCAAAGCGAAGGTGAGACCAGAGGAAAAATCACTCTGAATGCAACACCCGCTGTTTGTCCCGCTAATGCAGACACCGCCATGTTTCTACCGCCACGGTGCTCTCGGGTTTTTTCTCACAAACATCTACGTCACATTAAGGATTTCTACTTTAAATACGGTCTAAAGTTAAATTAGCGCAAACTTCTCTTGTTTTTAGGTCAGAATTAGGGTTGCTACCTTTCAGAAATTAAAATAAGGGACCAGTCCCTATGGATGTAAAGCCGGGGGGTGATCTTCATTTCTGGAGACATGTCCTGTGGTTTGATGAAACCAAACCGTTTGGCAGTAATGACCATCATTACATTTGGATAAAAATGTCACATTTTGTACCATCCTAACTGTGAAGCCCAGTGATGGCAGCATCATGGCAGATTGCATTTCTGCAGGAGGAACCGGTTCATTATGTGGAAATGGTGAAGCAACGTCTACAGACTCGGCCAGTAAGTAAAAGCCTGGGAACAGACTGGACCACATGTATGTAAACGTTATATTTTAAGGAAAGTCACCAAAAAATAAATCTCTAAAAAATGTTCTCGGTAAGTTTTCTTGCATTTAGCAGATAGAAATGATTTGGATAATTTTATTAAACCTAAAACAAGTGTAGTTTGGTCTGACTTGGCCTCAGACAGTGAGAAGAAATAAAAAAGGTGAATGCATTTTAATCCTGCGTATGTAAACTTCTGGTTTCAACGGTAAAACTCGTGCGTTGAGGTTCTGCAGCCTTGTTTCCAACCTAAGAGCTGATCAGAAGACGGCCATTGATGCCATTAAGGACGACCTTCATTAAAACTCGTCTTCATTTCTTCCAGTGAGTCACTGAGCGTAGAACTGAGTGTGCCTCCGTTTCCAGCCACGGAAGACGAGAACTGGAGCAGTGTTTTATTTTACATCAAACATCCTGCAGTATTCACATAGTAAATGTGAATCCTGAAATGTGAAACATAGTAAATAGTATCCGTTAAATCTGCTGCTACTTTTTTTCCGTCTGAATCAAAGCTCATCCAAGTCCCATGAACTAAGCACAGCAGCAGTCAGATTTTCTTTTAAATTTTTAGGTTTTGTAAGATCCTGATCAATCTTTAGCAGAGAAGAACGGCATTGAAAATTATTTTTAAGCAAACATTAATTATTCATATTGGGAGCAGAGAGCGAGCACTTGCTGCAAAACATGGTTTAGCTGTTTAAAAAAAACAGAGACAAAATGATTATAAATATAAAGCAGCACTAAAATCCCAGAGGAGTAAACACTTCAGCTTTAAAATACAAAGTTTGATGTGTTTTTGGGACGCTTCAATCCAGAGAATTCTTTTCTTTTGGTGCATATAGTTTTTATTAGATTAATAGATGTTTTAGAACTTCAAAGAGTGCCTAGTAAAGAAATGGCTGCAGGTTTGCTTTGTGCATTTTCAATTAATTACTAATAATCAGGTATAGCTGATGTCAAATTCAATTTCACAAAAAAATCTACTTAAGGCAGAGGAGCTTGATTTTCCCCCAGATTCTCAAATTTTGCTGTCACTATAGTGAGTTTCAACAAGTATGTTTATATATATATATATATATACTGCAGCTTTAAGTCTAGAGTCACTGTTTTTCCCAATATGTGAGCGTAAAGGACGGGACAGGAAGCAGCAGCTTTAGCTTCATACCTGCGCAGTAGTGCAAGCTAGTGTTAGCTACAGCTACCGTTAGCATTTTCCATCAAAACTACTCATTTAGACGGGATGAGTTTTATAGTATATATAGTATAGTAGTATAAATCCTGGTTACCTAGATTGATGTCAGCAGCTTTGATAAATATTTATGCTGAATATGAATTATTCTTTTTAAACCCACTACATGCTAGCTATAGCTTTAGTAGACATTTGTCACATTTAAGCGTCAAAACTGATGCCAGTTTATTCCAGAATATAAAAATTAAGAAGGATGTTCTGTAACTGGTAAATTACCACCTAGCATATTGTATATACTTCATATCATATGATGTATTCTTCAGACTGCTTTTCTAACGAAGTTCTTCACTTTTTGAAATGTGAAGTGGAAGCTCACCGTTTGACTTGAATGCATTGCTTTCATTCCAAGGACAAAAACATTAATTTTTTTGGGTCTCCAATATTAGATTTTGTCACTGTACCTTTAAAAATCAAATATTTAAGGTTGAGACAAAAATCAGGTTATTTTTGTTTCACAAAGAAGAAAACAAACATCAGCATCTCAAAAATCGTATTTTCTTCAGTTACCATTGGCTCTGTGTTTTGCCTCCATTTATCACAATAAAAGAATCCAGACGCCTTGATGAAAGTCTAGGATTTTTAATCAGAAAATAAAAAAAGAAGATCCAAACAGAAAAGAAGAGACTTCTTTCAGACCCTGAAAGCTTTGGACAGTCTGAATCAACAACAATAAAATGACAGATATATTTATAAAAACAAAAAGATCACATTTCTGCAGTCAAAAATTGGCTCAGCTAAACATCATGTGAGAAAATCCCGGTTCTGCCGACAGTTTGTGAAGCGAGTGATTGTATAACGGATTTTCCTCCAGCACCTCCACTTCTTCTCATTTACGTTTCCTTTCATACGCACAAACACTTTAGCTAGAAGGCTACGTCTATATTATAGTAAACCCTCGGTTCGTAAACGAGCAGGGTAGCATTGTTTCCTACGATGAATCTCTTGCCGAGTTTCTGAGTTTCATCCGTTCTGAAATGAGGATGTTTACAGGAAGGGGAATCACCCTCAGAGGCTCGAGCCTTTCCAACGGAGCTGAAACGAAAGGAAAACACCTGGATGGCGAGAAATGAGCTGTAGTCCAACAGACGGTGATAAAAATTCACACAAAAGCAGAGATCCTAAAAAAGCTCCACAATCATAAAGGGAGAGTTTAGATTTTTACTTTAAACTGAGGCTATCATCAGTAATCGTTCTCAAACTTGTGTTGCCGTTGTAGCCGATATCAATCCGTTTGATGAGCCGAGACTCGTCCGACAAGAGGAGGAAGTTTGTATTTGGGCAACAGCATCAAAAGGCAGCACAGTTCCTCTGCTTTTCCGATTCCTCGCAGCAACGTGGCGCACAGCTGGCTGTTAAAGCGGGAACAAACTTAATAGTTTCTTGTAAAAGCGTAGCAGCAGCGGTATGTTCCGTAAAGACAAACATTTTCACTTTGAATGAAAGGAGCTAAAACAGGTCGTGATTTTTACTGGCTGTTGGCTTTCACAACTCTGACTTGCTCAGTTTGCTGCAAACACAGGGACAATGAAAAAACTAAATCTTAAGTAATTTTAGCCTAGTTTCTAGTGCTAATATCTTAGTACACATGAAATAAGACAAAACTAACTTACATGTAAGTTTTCAGCTACATATAGGAGTTATTTAAGTCAGTAATTCCTTAATATTGTTAAGAAGAACTACAGTAGCTCCACTTTTTTCACTTTAAACATGGGAAAAATGTTATAAGTAAAAACAAGATCTGCCAGTGGAACTAGCACTTCTTCATCGATGTTAAGGAATTACTGACTTAAAACAAAAGTTAGTTATATGTTAATTTTGTTACATTTCAGGTGTCCTAAGATATTTACAATAGAAACTAGACCAAAAATACTTGGTAAGTTTTGTGTTTTTGCAGTGTTAGAAAACCATTACTGACGATGCATTCACAAAACCTCACGTCTGAAAATCTAAACTATTTCTTTACCGAACGAACAGAAAACATGGAACCAAAACGGTTTAATCAGTGGAGGACGAAAACTGAGAAAACCGGAGAAATTATAGCATAAAGTTAGTTTAAGACGCAAGAAAACAATAGTGAACTGTACTTTTCTTATGGATGAGACAAAGTTGAATTTCTACAAATAAAATCACTTATTTGGAAAAAAAAGGAAAAATCAGGTGTGTTTAAATAAATAGGTAGTTTTATGGGATTTATTTTACAAACCTGATTCAGTTTGTAAGATATAAACAGTATTTACAATTCAGTCTCAGTTTTCCCTAAAGAAAACTCTTTATTCTTGATAAGGTTTTTTTCCTGCAAATATCACTCTGTTTTAGCTTTGCATCAATTACTTCAGCTAGAGATTTAGTTTATTTTCCATTGATTGGTTCTGATTAGTGATCAGGATGTTAAATGAATTAAAAAACATGATGTACGAATGGGACCGTTTAATGATGAACGGAGCAAAATTAATTCAGAAAACCTGCAAAACACAGGAGAGTGCAGCGATGGTTCGCCTTCCAGTAGAGATTTACTAGAAACATGACCAAAAATTAATACTTTCATGCATAAATGGGGATGAAATAAGTAAAAAAAAAGTTATTTTTTTTGTTGGACTTAAGTCTATCATGAAAATATGCATGTTAGCTTCTGCAACAAGGGCAACAGACGTCCTCTTTGTCCTCGTATTCATTTGTTTACACGAAGAGCTGCGAATTGAAACTCTTGCATAACTGCAGTAATCAGTTGAGGGAGAAAAAAAATTAGTGGGATAAATGTTTATTTATTGACTCGTTTTACTCTAAACGCTGACAGACGCAGCGTTTCGTCGGCTGCCTTTCAGTTCAAACACGAAACGTTTTTTAAGACCAACAAGATTTCAGCTCAGCAGCTGGACAGCAGCTAGTCTGAAAACGCTGCCAGCTTATTAAAGAGTTCATGTCCGGGACTTAACCTCTGATTTACATGTACATGACTGGTGAAAAGTTACTGCTCTAACTTTATGTTACTTTCTGCCCCACAGATTTAAGCTCCTCTTGTTGTCATAGCGACGTACTGCATTGAATAGTGAAACTTGCAGCCGGTAAATTCAGCTACCAGCTGGATACGGTGTGTGATTTTACATGAAGTCAAAGGTTTTGTGACTTGACTCTATTTGTTTTGGAGAAAATACGTTAAAAAAAAAAAAACTTTATGCGGGGAATAATCCAGGAACTACCCTGCCCCGACAAACGGTCGCTACCGCTGACCTGAGACGACTCTCTTCGTATGATTTTGGCGGGGAAACGTCAACAGGGAGATTTTCCCCGCCGTGGTTCACAGCCTGATGGAGTTTGTGAGTTCAGACCGCTCAGGCAGTCTGACGTCCATTAATAGGTTCCCCTTAGTGGGGCTGAATTCACAGCGTCCGCCTAGCAAACAGGTCCAGCCGGCGTCCTGTCACAGACCAGAAGCCTCGTTGGGATGGTTTGGTCTGTTTACCTGAGAGAGGAGAGAAGATGGACTCAGTGTAATTTCCTTAGAGCACACAGTTTCTCATAGTTTAAGAAAACAAACTTAATATGTCTCCTAAAGCTTTGGAGGAACTCCACAGGTACATAACCCAGGTGGGAAGGTCTGCTGATCAATTTCACAATTCACTATTGAGGACAACCCAACTAGATGCTTCCTGCTAAGAGACAAAGGAGATTGCTGGACACCTGAACATGTTCTAAAGTGACCTCTGGGTATTGCGCATTGGAGAGTCGGCCACTGGCCGTTGTGTGTTACAGAACAGAGGTGTGTTTTTTTTCTTTTATGTTGAAAAAGCTCCAACTTGGACAAAACATAAGGAATCTGCTAAGTGTGTGAGCTGTAACCTTTACAAGACACCAATGGCTGTAGTCCCAAGGCAAACGGTCTGTTGTTCTAAAGGAATCATGTAGTTTTAATCTGCAGCAAAAGGAAGAATGTTGCCGGTTTTGGTCAGTTAATGACAGAAGTAAAAAAAAAAAAATAAGCAAAATCATCCTCAGCTTTTCATTTTTTTCTTTGCCACAATGATGAACAAAATGTTGGGGTTGGGTTGTTTTTTATTGTTTTAATGAAACTCTATCCAAGCCTTTGTATCAAAGGAAGATGACAGTGCTACTTTTTAAATTGTTTCAGCTTCTCAGGTTGCTTTCCAGGAAAACGACAGTGACCAGAGTTAGCAGAACCACTTGTAATCCTTTCACTCTGGATTGAGGCATGATTGGTGAAATATCAGCTGAGCTTAAAGGAGGAAATAATAAATAGCTAGTTTTTAATCAGTAAATGTCTAAGTGGAGTGATTCTGGGGGGTGGAGTTACCGTCCTCTGCCTCGGTTCATGATGTGTGCTGTGCCTCGACCCAGCATTAAACATTGAAAAACCAAAAACGCGCCTCTGTCCGGATCGAAGGTGGAATCTTTTCCGTATACGAAGAAATGCCGGAAGACTTTGTGGGCGCAAATCATGTACAACCAGAGCAGTTTGGATCTGAACCAACAGCTCAGATCCTGTTGGGTCAGGATGCTGACCCAACAGGATCAGCATCCTGATCAAGTGATCAGGATGACTTTTTTTTTTTTTTTTTTGCAATATTGAGTGTTAAAAAATAACAGTATGAATATTTTTTTGTTTTTTGAGGGGGACAGTTTTACAACAAGCATATTTTATGATTTTTCATTCACCTGATGTTAGCTCAAGCACACTTGTCAGTTCTCCTTTGAGCTCTGGATGTTAAAATTCAGCCTAGCTTCTGTGCTGGTTGCAATTCAACATGTGTTGACCTTCTAAAATCATAAACTCACTCTGCTCACCGCATCTGGTTCAACTTCCCGCTGCAGGATCCACTGTCCACACCCCCACTGGAGCGACGGCTGAACTCAGATTGCGGTTGTATGACTGCCTGTGTTTGTTTTAGACATTCGGCGAAGATAAAGAAGCTCAAAATGCATCTACTCTGGCTTAAAACTCTGAGAAAACGTCTTGTTTACCTACAGATGTGTTCTGATTCTCTTCAAAGCCGTGTCTGCGCTCAGACTGACAGACGCTCGTGAAGGGCAGGATCGGTTCATGACCGCACGTTGGCTTTTTTGCAGATGATGCTCTCCTATTTGTATGACGGGAACTGAGCATGTTTACTCTTTTACACGTTCTGATATTCAATCCTGCTTTTATGACTCATTGTAATTGTTCTAAATGTCTAAAGAATATTTTTTTTGTCGCTCAATCAAAATGTTTTTACTGAAGAAATAAGACGTGAGTAGTAGAGGAAGCTTTTTTTTTTTGCTAAACTGGATCAGATGTCACAACAGCTCAATAAAGGATAAACACAAAGGAACATAAACACACAATCTTTTTTTCCTTTTTGGTCAAAAATAACAAGGAACTACTTTGTATCCAGCGGATTCCTGTTTAAGGACTTGATTTGACGCGGTTCGGGAACCGAGGCAGAACGCTCTGGGCTTCGTCATCCTAATTGGATGTGGAGGCAAGCTGATTAATAGGTGACATTTTTAGAAAAGCAAGCACGTATTACTCCAATCAATCGCTGATTCCCCCCCGTCAGTTCAGAGGAATATCAAACTGAGATAAAAGCGCGCTCAGAAGTGCCTGGAATTAAACGCACATGGTGTAAACACATTACAGAGCTCGGCCTTGGAGACCCAGCAGAAAAATCAGTGTCGAATTAGGGTTGCATTAAATTACAGTAAATGGAGAGCGGATGTTCGCCCTGGGTGACTCAAAACATAGGCTAGTTTTAATGTTATTAAATTAGAATGTACTATAAATTGCGGACTTCCCTTGCCTCGTTCCATTTGGAAAACCAAGGAAGTGAACTTGTTCGAACATAAGAATTGGGCTCCAACTGCACATTTCTCTGACTAAACCCGACTCACCCAGTCTGACGGTGTTAGGGTTTACAGTTTGTGTAAATTCATAGCCAAAGAGGAGGGTACAGGGCAGCAGCCTCATTAGTTCAGGTTAGAAAGCGAAGCGTTTCAGTTTACAGCCTCTGAACAGTTCAGACGATCACCAGATCCAGATCTGACTACCATCATCGGTCATTTAGGAAAACAAAAAAAAAAAAAAAAAAAAAGGGGTTTCTTTTTTTAAGCCAAAAGAAT